GGCAAGCACAATAACCATACCGAGTTTGGTACAAATTGCTAGAACGGTTAGCGAGATACATATATGTGATCATAAGTGGGCGGTGCCACGCCCATTTTCCAAAATTTTATCATAAACGTATTTCTTGGTAAAGAATTGTTGCAAGCATCAATTTTGAATAAATTAGCTTCAATATTTACTGATTTATCGAAGATTTCGTATTTCTCTAAATTACCGTTATATGGGATGTGGGCGTGGTTATTGTCCGATTTTAAAAATTTTCGGTCATTTCGTAGGTGATATCAAGGCCAATAACTGTGCCAAGTTTGGAAGAAATTGGTGCAGCGGTTACCAAGATATACACATGTAACCATAAGTGGGCTATATCGTATGAATGAACAGCAACGTTCCAGCTCTGAAAATATACTACAACGCGGATTTCGATGCTGGTAACAGAGGAATAGGAAGGTCTGCGATGGAAAGACCAAGTGGAGAAGGACTTGAATTTACTTGGCATTTCCGATTGGCGTCAGTTGGTGTGCTGTATTGGACTCGGCCAGAATTTCTTAGGTGGTAACTGCGCCAAATGGGCTGAGAAGGCCAAAATCATACTCTATAAGTTCCTAACCATTTCATTTCTAATGTATGGCATAGAAGCGTAGTCAATGCCAATATCCGATGAGGTGGCCTTTGAAGTATTCACGTAAACCGGTGTATTACGCTTCGGCGACGGCAAATGCTGCTATTTATCAACTAAGGTGTCTGCATCTTTTTTATGCAAATTCACGCAGGTACTAAAATTCTAAAAGCATGCAAAGTGATTTGCCTCTTTGGCAGAGGAAGCTGTATTTCCGATGATAAATAAAGTTACACTCTTTGTCTCAAAAAGGAAATAATAATTTAAAAAATATAGATTTTGTGCTCACGTTTTTGCTAAGTGTTTGGCCGAGCTTTTCCTTCAATTTGTGTTTTGCATCTTGCTGTTATAGTACTAATGAAGAGACCTCTTCCGAATGGCAAATGTTTATAAAAGAAACTGCTTCATGGCAGAAATACACTCGGAGGTTTGCCATTGCTTGTTGGTCGGCGGCCACTGCTAGAAAAACCTTTTTCTTCAGAGGGCTACCAACCAAAAACTGTTCTTTGTGCTACCGATAGCATTAAAGGATATGAGACAAATAGGAATAAGAAAGATAGCATGGTGACGCTTATGCTTTGGTGGTAGAAAAACGTTGCAATAANATATAGATTTTGTCCTCACGTGTTTGCTAAGTGTTTGGCCGAGCTTTTCCTTCAATTTGTTTTTTGCATCTTGCTGTTATAGTACTAATGAAGAGACCTCTTCCGAATGGCAAATGTTTATAAAAGAAACTGCTTTATGGCAGAAATACACTCGGAGGTTTGCCATTGCTTGTCGATCGGCGGCCACTGCCAGAAAAACCTTTTTCTACAGCAGGCTACTGATACTATTTAAGGATCTGAGACAAATAGGAATAAGAAAGATAGCATGGTGACGCTTATGCTTTGGTGGTAGAAAAACGTTGCAATAACAAAGTTCTACAAGCGGCTTATATCTATGTATGCTCGAAACCTCGTTAGGTGTGAAAAAGTAGTGAAACCCATGGCGTTTAAAACTTAAACTGGCGTAGACTGGACATAATTTCATATAGCTTTTACAGTAAGACCTTGAGGTGATGGGGGATGCTTTATTGGTTTTGGCCAAAATCGTTTAGATGAAGCTTGATTCTGCAAATATAAAGGCATGCGTTTGAAATTTATAAAAGATTTTGAAATCAAGTAACTTACTAATACCGGCTATAATTGGTAAACCGTCATCTTGCCATACAAATTCCGATCAGTAGCGGCAGAATGTATTCAGCTCACGAGTCGCTCATGCTGCACCTTCTATCAGCTAAAATTACTGGCAGCGCACATTGTGGAAAATACATAAACTTTTTTTAGACAGAATAAAATACCCCGAAAATAATTTATAGATTTTGAGGTGGAGAATTCAGGATAAAAAAATGCAACTTGACTTTTTAAATTACATTCGATCTTTTTTGACCTGAAAACAATTTCCAATGAAATTTCAGAAAAGTTTTAAATAAAGGTTGTTTCTGTTCTCGCAAAATCTTATTCGTGAAGGTCGTTTTTAGGGTTATGGGAGTTTTTTATTCAATAAGGCCTCAAAATAAAATATTCAATTTTTCTTCTTTTTACCTAAAAAAAAGCAAGCGATAAACTTTTTAAAATAAATTTAAAATACGTTTCTCGATTCTTGTAACCATGGAAATAATGTCCTTCACGCAAGTACTGCAAAATTATGTGTCTTAAAGGTTCGAAGATTCATTAGATATAGTTTTCAGGCCAAAAGATTAAAAAAAATTAAAACCGCTTTATTTTTGAAAATCACTTTTTATCTAACAAATGTGTATATTTTTCCTGAAATCTCATCTCAAAAGCTTTAAAATACAGTAGAACCTCGTTAATTCGGACGGGGTAAAAAAATTTAAAAAATCTATTATTTACCTTGTAATCCGCATCCGCCACGGTCCCGCTAATCCGGATCCGGCAAAAGCGTATTTGGCAAAAAAAAGTATCCGACTTTTTTAAATAAATTTTGAGTGAATATACCATTATTTNTTTTAGATGAAGCTTGATTCTGCAAATATAAAGGCATGCGTTTGAAATTTATAAAAGATTTTGAAATCAAGATACTTACTAATACCGGCAATAATTGGTAAACCGTCATCTCGCCATACAAATTCCGATCAGTAGCGCCAGAATGTATTCAGCTCACGAGTCGCTCATGCTGCACCTTCTATCAGCTAAAATTACTGGCGGCGCACGGTGTGGAAAATACATAAACTTTTTTAGACAAAATAACAATAGACAGGTCAAAAGATTAAAAAATATTAAAACCGCTTTATTTTTGAAAATCACTTTTTATCCAACAAATATATTTTTACTGAAATCTCATCTCAAAAGCTTTAAAATACAGTAGAACCTCTTTAATTCGGACGGGGTAAAAAAATTTAAAAATTCTATTATTTACCTTGTAATCCGCATCCGCCACGGTCCCGCTAATCCGGATCCGGCAAAAGCGTATTTGGCAAACAAAAGTATCCGACTTTTTTAAATAAATTTTGAGTGAATATACCATTATTTTATACTTTTAACATTTATATTTAAGTCATTTTTATAGTGTTTTTTATCATAATAAATGAACAAACAATTACAGCAGTTTTTCGGTAGAAATTCGAATGCCTTCGGTAATCTGGATTTCCTTATTGACCGGATTGAACTAATTTTAATTGATCCGGATTAACGAAGTTCTACTGTAACGCGAAATTTATTTTGCTGGCTGTTCTTGTTTTCGAGATTTAGATTTTGTCACAAAAAAAGCTAAGTTTCCACACTGTGCAGCGTTTCACTTGCGATGGGAGTAGAAAAAAAATAGTTGCATGTGAATTTTTTCCTACAGGGTATGCATGTAAACAATTTCTGACATCATACCCACAAGCCTGTGCAACCTTTGAAATAATAAGCGAAGCATACAAAATCACATTTTTAGTTATATTTTTTATTTAAAACTAATGGCACTAAAATACTTTGCAAATACACTTTCTTAAAAATTTATTTAATTTTTGTTAAAGAACACTACACTCAAAGTGAAGTAAATTACTTTTACTTCCTAATTTTAATTAGCCCCACGTTACTTGCCTCTCTATCACCAATGAATTTCATCCACTAAAATACATACGTACATACAAACATACAAAACTAAGTGTCGTTTATCACTGGCTCTAATTGAATTAAATTAATTTTTGTTGTTGTTTAGTTAAGTTCAAAGCCACCTTACGCTGACCGCATTCACGCTCAATTGTAGTTGTGTTCCTCTTCGCCAAATGTCCATGTCGATTCATCATCATAATCCTCACCAGCACCCTCCTCGCCATTCTCATCTTCTTCTGGACAAGCCGAACAACGGCTCTCGTTGATGCCATAATTGATGCAGTTGGCGCCAACACATTCACAACAACCATCGTGGAACCAGCGATAACTATTCGCACCCATATTCTCGCAGTCTTGCGCACATTTGTGGTACGTTTTGCATTCATTCAAGTAGATAACCGTGCAATTGACATGCGTCGCCGTTGCCAGCGCCACCGCCGCCGCCGTGTTCGTTGCTGACGATTGCAATTTTTGTATGGACGCTTGGCGGTCAATAGCATCACCACCATCGCTGCCAACGCCAGCCAAGCTAACACCAAAGCCAGCGCCATAATGCCGACGCAAACTGGTGCGCATGGTGAAGCGCATCACAGTCCAGTTGTCGTCATCTTCGGTGAGTGTTTCAAATAGCTCTGGCAAACCCTCAAACAAACCAAACTGCGATCTTGGCGCTGCCGGATTGAAGGGGTCTTTCACTTTGGGACACATATCCAAGCAGCTGCAGCACTCCGTATACAAGTCACCCAAGCAGTTGAGACATTCCTGCAAGCAAGTGGCATTGTTTAATTTGCACTGACAACTCTGTGTCAAGAGACATTTGGAGACGATTGAACCACAAACGAACTCATTGCAACCATCGGTGTTGGCGTCGCCAGCAGCTGCACAGCGCTGACAGCTAAGCGCCAGTAGAAGTAAGAGGAATTTTGTAGTGACGCGCGTCAAATGGGATTTGCACATGTTGAATGTCTGATAACAAAATTATTTTGTTACTTTATTTATGTTTTTGTCTAACGATCTTGCCTTAACTAACCGCGTTTCAACGTTGTTTTCACTTTAAGGATCCGAGACTGACTAAGTGAGTAGGTAAGTGGAAGTGGAAGCAAAGAGTCAGCTATGTAGTTTGAAGTCTGGCTTAGTGACGATGTAAGAGCGAGCGCGCAAGTAAAGAGCGCAAATGAGCAGTTAAGTCGTGAATTTGTATTTATTTTTCTTTAAGTGTGTATGTGCATTTGTGTTGTTTTGCTTGATTTTCTTCTTTTCAGAAAGCCTGTAAGGTTAAGATATAAGGATACAACCATTGAAGTCGTCACGCAGGTATAGTTATATGTACGTATAGGCCCGTATACTTATGAAAACATTTATACTTACATACATACATGTGTCAATTCAAAGCCATACATATGTACTGAAATACATATACATATATGTACATATGCATGAACATTAGGCTGCCTCACTCAAAAAAAAATTACGAGTTTTCCACCGGAATTATAAAATGTACTATATTTTAAGACTTCCGCCAAAATATTTCGGAAAAGTATTAAGATTTACGTGATCCTGACCGATTTGAAAATACCTCCAAAAATCGCATAAATTTTATTCCGTTGATAAAATTTTTAAAAATTTGTATGCCGACCATTTAAGCTTAAACTCTTCCATCAGCTCAGATAATCTTTAAGAAAAAATATGTTTAGAAGCTAATTTTTTTTTACGAAAAACTTAATTTTTGGAGGTATTTTCAAATTGGTCCACTTCACGTAAATCATAACATTTTTTCGACGATTTTGGCTGTAATCTTAAATTCTAATGAATTTTATAATTCCAGCACAGCATCAGTTTTTTTTTTTTTGTATAGAGACTGCTACACCCTAATGTACATACATACGTATGTCCATATATACCCTTGTGGTCAACTAATTAAGTTAGTGAAATTTTAAGCACTTTGGGCTATTTTTCTTTTGTTTGTTATATCCTATTATTATCATTAACCAGCACCATATAAATCCAAGTACCACAAAATTTGGGTGCGCAGTTTTATAGCCCATTAAATTTCAAATGGATAGAGCGCAAGTTTCTGGTGGCTAAGAAATCACGTTGTTTTTTAATATTTTTTTTTTTTGCTAACGCTGTTGTGCATTTTCTTCCATAGAAAGTATGCTGGAGGAAAATGCCAACCACAATCAGCAAAAAAAAAATATTAAAAATTAACGCAAGTTCTTGGCTACTTGAAACTTGCACATTATTGGACTAAAATTGAATGGGCTATGAAACTGTGTACTCCAAAAATTTCTAACACTTCTGAGAAGAAAGTTTGAAATTTGGGTGAAAATTTGTTGCACTTTTTTGCTGTTTTCTACAAAGTTTTTTATTTAGGTTTATAAGAAAATCAACTGTGTTTTAATTGAAAGTTCTTAAAAATAAATAAATACTTACTTTTTTTAAGATTGTGGATAAAAAGTTTAAAATTTTAGTCAAAGTTTGCTGAATTTTTATAATTTTTCTACATGTGGATTTATAAAGTGCTTGTTATATAACAAACTAGACTTCTATACTGGTCAAAATGTGACTAACTTAAATAGTTGACCACAAGTGTACATATTTAAAAACTGGCATATGTGTTTTCTTCCGTCTTCACGTCGTTTTTTTTTGTTGTTTTTCATATCAATTTCACTTGAATTTGTAATTGTTGCGCTTCAACCGAAGGATAACAAATTAAATGAGTTCGGGAAACTACTTGACTGCACTCTGCATGGATGCTTACATATACGTAGGCATGGTGTATTGTGTAGAGTGGTACTGTGGTTACACTGTAAAAAACTGTACTAATTATATTTTTTAATTAATCGGAGGTATGGCCTCTGCGTATTGAAAATATCCTGTAAGCTGAGTTATAAAAAAAGAAATAAAGAACTCATTCAACTTAATTTAAATCTTCTTCTGTTTAGTGAAATTTTTTATAATTCGAGTGCGGTCACACTACACTAAAACAATTGCCGACCGCAACGGACTGCTGTATACCAAAGTTATAGCAAAGCTATAGCAAGCGGATAATCGCGAATTCAAGGAGTTATGGGATCTGAAAATGCCATAAGGGCCGTATGTATTTAATATCAAAGTTTATTGAAGTCTGGGCTATCCCATGGCCAATCATTGGATAAGACCATATTAGAGACGCGGTGCATGGGCTATGTTCGAGTCAACACCAACCATTACACAAGTTGACTGCTGGCCACTCTCATTTGTGACGCGCTCAGAAGCATGACGCGCTGACAGAGCATAAAATAAATATGCAGTCAGTGTTGCCGTTGAGAATTTTCAAAAAAATCGCAAAAAAGTGGTTATTTACGAAAAAAAGGGTCACCATATTACTTTTGCTTTTCTTTACTAGTAAAAAATAAATCCGCTTATTCGCTGCCAAAAGGTTCCGGTGTTAAATTTAGGAAGAAAATAGCGGAACAAGCTTTAGACATAGAATCATAGAAAACGAGTTGCTGCAAGGAGAAGAGTTTTATTTCCTTTAAAAGTTCTCAGTGGTGCATTTTTTCGTACTTACAGGAGGAAATACTTTTGAATAGCATGGTTCTGTTAACATTTCTTAAAACAAAATCTCTGAAAAGGGGCAAAAGTCGCACATAATTTTGGACGATTTTTCAACAGTGAAAATATGTTTGTCTTTTTTCGGTGATATTTTTTGGCATTTGCCGATATTCATTTGCCAATACATAATTTTCTGTTTGCTCAATGGATTTCGATGATTGAATTTATAACGGACGTGTGACAAAATTTCGCTTATTTCTTAACTTCCCCATCCTCTTATCGCCTCTCAATCGATCTACATTATTTGATATCAAATTTTAATCAGAAAAGATTTGAAACTCCTATGTACTTAAATATAAATATTTTGCATCACTAAATTTGTTTAAGTGTAGCCTTTATCTGTAGCCGCATTCCGTTATGCTCTAGTGATCATTTTCAAAGCATCTCTTGCATCTGGCATATCTTTGTCGGGCTGACATTTTATTTAAGAACAAAAAAATTTCAACAATATGTAGCGATGTGAACAACTCAGGTATGGTCTTTTTATCGATTAATGATAAATTTTAGAAAGTGTTTTACATCGCTTGACACAAATTTAGGTGTTTTGTGTGTAGAAAATTATTGAAGGTCTCAACGCTTGAGAATTACTAACCACATTTTCTGTAAGTAATAATATACTATATCGTAATTTATGTATACATACATACAAATACCTATGTATATTTTTAGATGATGATGATTACTTACATACTCTCAAAAATTAGGCTCTTAAGAAATTGCGCTCTTGTTTCAGAATGATATTTGTCTTACCATCCTATTGAATTTTGATTCTTGCTCATTAATAATATGTAAAAATATTGCGTCTTTATTATGCCCATCATATGAATGAATAAGGTTCCACCTCTAAATACCTACATACATACGTACTCTTCACAGCCGTTGACTTCCTATGCATAACAACTTTACCGCTGAGAGATTACGAAATCATTACTAAATGCACAAACTACACGACTTTGTCATGTGTGTGTGTATGTGTATATATGTATTTATGTACATTAGACTGCACTACTCCTCATACAACAAAAAAACATCGGTACTATGTTTCCATTGGAATTATAAAATCTATTATATTTGGAGACTTGCACCAAAATATTTCGCTAAAATATGGACTGGAGCGGTTAGAAAATAGCTTTTTTTACTTTATAAGTCTAAATCGGAATAGTTTTGGCCCAGTTATTCAAGTTTTTCTTAAACGAATCATTGAAAAACAAAAAACTTAGTTTTTAAACATTTTTATGCAGATTTTTCGAGCTTAAACTAGTTTGTCATCTGAGGGGAATTTTTCAAAAAGTTCCTGAAGAAACTATTTCTATTCATAAAAAAAACGTCAAACATATTTTGGTGGACATCTTCAAATATGATAAATTTCGTAATCCCGGCGGAAACTCACAACTTTTTTGGTGATGCAGTCTAATGTATATATGAATTGTTTTCAAATGCTCAACTTACACATCTGAATGGATATATAGTATTACTTTCATATTCAAACCTGACTGCTGAGTCGACTGGTCATACTCCGATGAGTTTCTTATGAGCTTGAGTGAAAGATTAGTTGTTGTTGTAATTAGTCGCTTTGTTCAGTTATTTGAAGCTGATCATTGCAGTTGCTGATTTTAGGCCTGCATAACTGATTCTGGTCGGGATTATTTTTTGGAGCGTGCTGAATTGTAAATATTACTAGGATCTTCTAATTCAGCCTAGGCTTAAGACTGGTCGCTCCCTATCGGGCTTAGGTCAGACCAGTTTGGCAAAGGCTTTATGGGTTTATTAAATCACATGTGGGTAAAGCTAGTTTAACCTGGGCAAAACATGTTTGTTCGAAAATCGGGTTTGGGCGGTAACATACCTACATACATATATAATACAAAAGAGACCACTCGAGTCAGAGTTACTTGTTAAGTAAAATCTAAAAAAATCATTGCAGCTAAATAAATATCTGTTTCCACTTAAAAGCCCTTGACTTTTCAAGTTTAACCTTTCTGGCCACAGATTTTCATGGTCTCATATGTAAGAGAGTCATATTTTGTAAATCTTTTTTAAACAAGTGGCACTCAGTCCTCAATAACTTTCTTCTGATATGTTGCTTAACGTAAAAGCCCATTAGGTCAGATATTTCCTCTTCAGTCTAGCTTATAAATAGTTATTGAAGTTGTATTCGTTGGAGGCAGTCAAATTAGGTTTACAGTGACTGGATGGTAACTGTATTATACTGATGTACAAGAAAGTAAATATTTCTCGCTTACACTTTATTTAGCTAAGTGTTTGGCCGAGCTTCCCCTCAAAATTTTTGGTCTGCGTGTTGATGTTGTTACACAAATGGAAGGCATTGCCGCTTTGGCGCTAACACATATGTTATGGTTTGGCCGAGCTTCTCCTCCGATTTGTGGCGTGCGCCTTGATGTTGTTACACAAAAAGCTGAGAAGCTGTTTTTCATAGCAAAATACACTCGTAGGTCTGTCATTGCCTGCCGTGGGGCGGCCGCCACTAATTTATA